ATTTGATATTAGTGTGAATCAGTTGCTTGAAATGGGCGTGATTACTGGCTGTGCGTGCCAGTGACTTATATTGATCATAATGTGATGCGGGGTGTGCGTGCGAGGCTTGCGGTTCTGAGAGAGAGCTTTTTTTGGTATTTTTTAAGTCTAATGATTCCCAATAAAATGTGACATATCGATACCTGTCTACCTTTCTGCTTGCGTTTGAGCACACCAAGGTGGTGATGCCAGCCAACTGACAAACACCAGCAACCAGTATTTCCTACACTGCCGGGATGTACAAGGGCGATTTGCTACTTCATCATGATCTTGCCGACATTTTGAACCTATTAAGGTGTTACAGCATGTAACGAATACATTTTTTTAAAAGATTTGATCCGAACCCTTTGAATGGATTGATTTTCGGGATCGGAGCTCACGCTAAGCAGTGCTTGTTGTGTGAGCCCTGACCCCTACCATCCGATCGCGCAATTCCATGTCAACGGCAGGATTTGGTGGCGAAAGCTTAACGTGCCGCAATGCTCGGCACGGCCCGTCCTGCCCTCTGACGTCAACTGACCTTTAGCGCGACCGCTGCCACCGGCCGCAGGCCATACCCGTCAAGGGCAAATGGCGAGCGCCCTATAGCGACTCAAACCCGCCCCGCCACAGGTAGGTGGATCGGAAGGCAGGCACTCTAACGAACTGAGCCACCGGGACGAACAAACACTGACATTGCATGCCATTGTACTAGCGATTCATTTTGGCGGTAGGAGCAGGCCCGTGCGGCTCATTAATGCACATGCTTTGTAAGAGGTTGCTTGATACGGCTTTGCAAAATTGTCTCCCCTTAAGAATTCTGGAAATTTAGTGTTGCATTATCATGAATGCATATACTGCTGTGTTAACAAATTTTGTGTGCAGGCAGGCAATGCTTGTGAGCCATCAAGGTCAGTCACTCCAACTTGCTTGAGATGCTGGGTGCTGAGAAAGGTGAAAAAGTATTGTTGTTTCTTAGATGGCATTTTACATTATTTGTATCATCAGCTTTGTGTGCACTGGCAGCTTCATCACGTCCTTGCATTTCGCCCATCTAACTACACGCACTTGTTCTGTGTCCAGCTTCGCGCGAGGTCATCACGTTTTCACTGTTATTTCACGGCATGTAATATTTCGTTTTTATGCGTATGTTGTCACTTGTATGAATAACACTTCTGAGTGAAGCAGGCTGGCGGTTGCAGCATGCTGCGTGGCTGTGGGAGCAGAAGACATGTTTGCGTCTTTGTGACCTATGTTTTGTGGATTCACAGAACGGGCCGAGCAAGTGATGCCACTTATTGGTTTTGTGCTTTGCTGAAAGTGATTTATATGTTGTATTATGTGTTTTTGGTCAGTCGCATGTCGGATGCAGAGTAAATGCAAAAATGCACGCTTGACCCATCTTCTCATGATGGAATGTATAATGGTAGCAGCCGAGACTGCAGTACGGAAGCCGTATCATTGTCCAATACGCCACGCCACAGTACAGCACTGTGGTAGTGCCGCAATGACACTGTTGACCTGTGCCCTTACACAATGCACCACATTGGCTGACTACTCTATCCAAGCATGTGAGATAATAGTTTATAATTCACGAACGACTGGTAGCAACTGATTTAGCACTGCTAAAGAACCATCGCCAGTTAGAATGTTGTGGCACCACAATGATTATATCGGAGTTGCCTATCGCTTGCATAAATAATCCTGAGCAAAAAACAACATTCTTGGTACCTCAATGTTACCATCTTCACCATAGCAAAAGCAATGCTTTGGCAATCATTTCATACCAGCGTTACATATTCATTGCTAATTTTTGCATGTGACTGCATTTCCAGTTACAGATACAAAGTGGCTCTTGTGCACATCACAAGGTATCAACGTCAGGACTACAGCACTGCAGGCAAGGATAGGTCGACAATACAGAACTGACATCCTCAACAGTCCTTGGCAGGTTCCCGTGAGATTTGTGACATTTTATGACAGTGTTCACAGCATATCGTGCTTAATCTGCCATAAAAGCTGGCGATCGCCGTGCTGCATATGACAAACAGCCTACCAAAGCTTTTCGTACGACCAGTACCAAGACAAAACAAATCCATAAACAAGCCATCCACCATCCCGCCACCCCACTCAGCGCCCGCAACGAGAATGGCCGGCTGACGTCAGCTTTCGCACGTTTCGAGGCATTCTTTAAGTCTCGCTGCCAGATGCTGCCAGGTTTTGTTGTCACAAAGCGATTCTACGCCGCCATCGTACGATTGCATCATGGTCGTCAGTGGCACGTCACCGATGTCAAGCGTACCACGGATTACGGATTTAATATTGGGCTTCAGACTCACTTGAACAAACATGTCGAGTACACCGAGGCAAGGACGTTAAGGCGGATATCCATTTTAAAATGCCTGGCATACCGAGAATGTGGCGCAGATAGAGCCACCCTCATACGCATCTACAAAACAATGATCGGGCCAGTTTTGGACCATGCATGCCCTTTCCTAAATGAGGCCCAGAAATAAAGCGGTCGAATTATTAGGCTGTATTCAAAATGTGTGCTTACACATGGCAACGGAAGTGTTGGGGACATTGACTATCCTGCCCCTGCATGTAGAAACAGGCATTCGTCACCTTCGATTGTGACGACATGAATTGACGACCTTCATTCAAGAAATTCAAATTGCCTTCAAATTGTCCGTTTTACCAAAATTTTTAGTTTTTGTTGCTTTTTGAAAGAGAAGCAAGCTCAGACACTAAAACCAAAGACTGTTTTAGACGCATGCGTGCATGGCACACTGGTTGGTGTATATAAACGCAGTTTTTGAGAAGTAGTTTTGGAAAACCAGGCAAAAAATCTTTTTTATATTGGCTTATACCATTCAAAGCAGCCGTTCTATATGGCTTTCAACAACGCTATCCTGTTCAGCAATTCAGTGCACATTGATTCGTGCCTGATTTATTGAGATTCAGTGACCGAGACTGGGACAATGACCCAAAAATCGTACCGGTGTACCTGAACACCGGAAAGTACCAATTTTTTACGTTTAATTCAAAATATAAACATTAGCGCATCTGCCGAATATCTAGGATTCCAAGAGCTGACGGCCGTGACGTCATCGTTTAACCATGGTCAAACCGTAAGGATATGGAAATTGCTTGAGACAGAAGGTAAAACCAGTTAGGATTAGCCGATCCAAGGCTAAGTATGGAACTATGACTGAAATGGGGGCTTTTAATGAAGGCAGCCAGAGATGTAAAACTCAAAGATATATACTAATACCTGACACCAATTTTGAATCTAGACATGATTTTGCGGTCCACGATCAGCTTTCCAACGAGTCAAGGTCGTTTTTCCGCACCTGTTTAGGCTCAGAAATTTGCAACAGGTGTTTCCAAGATGATAATAAGCTTTTAAAGCCCAAATCTGACATTCCTGAAACTTGTATATAGAACGAAAGCGGTCCGGATTCCTCATCAGTATCTGTGTTGAGTTATAGAGGAAATCGTCAATTTTGGTCCGAAGGAAGTAACGCATAAGAAGCATAACTGTTCTTAAATCACTTAAATCACTTAAATTTTATTGTTCCGGCACACAGTAGATGTATATTTTGACGGGCTGCACTGCTGCAGACTTAAAACGCTTTTTAACTCAGGATTTGTTTTATATCAGGTACCAAATTTTCACATCGTAAAGAAATGGTCATTTTCCTGTGTTCAACATGAAAACGGCGTTGGAAAGAACTTTCTACGAAAATGCTCAGATTATAAGAACTGACGGGCTTTCTGCTCTTTTGACCATGGCTTAAGTTTAAAAACGTCTCAAGAATTGGCCGAGTTTAAAAGCAAAAACATGTTCTTAACAGCGATTTCAATGCCACCTCTACGACACCACGATATTTTGAACTCCCGAGTGTCAAGGAGTTAACTTCAAGCGTGCTGGTGAAAAACTACGCTGAACACGAATATGGCACTCGCTATCCAGTGAAAAACGTGCAAAAAGGGAGAAGTATTTTTCGCTGATTTTGGGAATTTGTCTATCTTCCAAAGCTAGAAGAGCATTGCTTTGCAACGTTTAAGGCATAACATTCTATGAACATTGTTATCGTCAATCCCATAATATCAACTCCAAGTCATTCAATAGTCACAAAAAGGATACTGGGGAAAGAGTGGGTAAAGAACAGGGCAAGGTTATGATGGGTCAGATTTGAAAAAAAGATGCTTGGCACGCTCAGAATTGCAATGAGCATCGAGTGGTGAAAAGAAAGCTTTCAAAAATTGCTTATTTTTATGTCTTCAAACTTGAGACACGAAAACTTTTGTTTCACGGTACGTTTAAGGAGTACCACGCGAAGAATGAATCAGTATTTTGATGAATATTCAAAAATTAATAGCTTCCGTTCTCCCAGCTGGAAAGATCTAAGAAACGTACTGGTGAAACGCTGGAAGCAGTGGCTATTAAACTAACCACCTTAGAAAATACATGAAAATATTAAAATTGGAACACCCAATGTGTTTTCGTGACCAACAAGAAAATGTTTGCAGTTTTGTTGCGTGACGAATGGCCGTCGAGTTATGAGGGTGCAAAAATCCTAAACTTGGCACTGAAAATAATTGGCTTCAAAAACCAACATAAGAAAAACGATGATGGAGGAAAAAATTCTGCATAAAAAAATATTCGTAAGATGCTTCTAAGTGCTTTCCATTCCGCAAGGCTTTTTCACATAAAGGTTGTGAATTGTAACCATATAAACGATATCCTCACGATCCTATTAAAATTAGCTGTGTTTGGAGCACGGTAGTTTACGCGAAGCGCCACTTAAATGTTCGACTTTACCATGACGGATAACCACGTGCAAGCTCAAATAGAATCGGCAGAAAAATCCAAATCCAGACGCATTATGTAAATAACATAAAATCCAAATCCAAATTCTGATGATTTTTTTGTTCAAATTTTACATTTTCTATACACAATTAGCGTTCAAGTGCTCTGCCCACTGGGTAACTTTTAGCTTAAATAGTATCTTGACATCTTTAAATACTTGAATTCCTAATTTTTCGAGATTTTAGCAACATTTGAAGCACTATAACTGCGCAACAACGGTAAATGAAGACAAGTGTTACAGAACCGGAAAACGCACAGTTTATTTTGCAGTGCGACGTAAAAAGATGAGGTAAAACACATTTTTAAAGTTTTTGGCAGGAAAATATTTCTAACAAAGTTCATCACTAAATAGGTTTGAAAATAAACTTGTTGAAGACAGCATCGGGATCCAAATTGAGTCTGTTTCAATGTTAACGAGTCATTTTCAGATCAAGTAAGACGTTGACGTGCATCTGTGAGGTGAATATGAAAATAATATTTGACAAAGTTTTGGAACTTGTTTGGCCAGAGTTTTACGAAAAAACTGCGCATGGCCTTCATCTGGCTCATGTTTTTTTTTGACGGGACGGTGATCAGGCAAGAAATATGCTCACCATAGGTCGTGTAGAGTTACCTTCTCCCATACCATTACGCGTAGCAGAAAAAGTGTGTTTCTACGTGCATGTGATCCATGCTTAATGCCTTTTAATTGAGCAACAAAGGCAGATAAAAACACTATCCGGAAACAGGAGATACCGGTGAGGGTGAAGGAACATGGTTGACGTTTACCAGCAACGACACCTCAGCACAATGATAACAAACTATGGCACACCCGAATGTCGTGTGTTTGAGGCAGATACAAAAAAGTAGGCCACACCTACATACCCCAAAATCGAACGATTCCCTTCACACCACTCATGAGAATGGTATGATCATGTTTGTGTACCAGATTTTCTGGCCGTTGATGTTTGGAGTAGTGCCTGATAGTTGGCGTAACTCAATAAAAACACAAACATCAACGAACCAACTAAAAAAATCAGATGAATGCCAAACAGGGCACGCCGTATTCGTAAGCAAGATCAGCAAACAGCTGCCTGCAAGACAGTGGTGTCGATTCGGCTAGGATCACCCACTGCCACTTTCTTGAATGAAGCGCCCGTCTCCCCGTCCGCAGCCTGCTTTGCGCCCCGCGATCTACACGTCCGGCACGAACTCGACCGACCCGCTGAAGCGTCGGCCGCGACTGGAACGGCCGCGGGTGCGGAAGTACACCAGCAGCCGGTTGCCGACCGAGACGAAGGAGCGGCCGGTGAGGCGCGTGTTGCAATCGGACTCGATCTCGTCGCGCAGGTCTCCCTCCACCCGGATCGACATACGATCGCGCTTGCAGTTCGGGGAGTCGTTCATCGAGACGTCGGTGACTGTGAGGCGGACGGCGAAGCCGCTCGGCGCCGTCACCAGCCAGTAGCAGTGGCGGTCCTTCTCCATGGAGTCGGGGTAGCCGGGGGAGGTGATCACGCCGGGCGTCGTGATGTCGGTGTCGCCGCACACCGGGCCGTAGTAGCTGTAGTCATCCGGCACGTTCTCACAAAGCGCGCCTTCCACACCCTCTGGGCAAACGCACTGGCAGAACTTGTCCACGTAGCCTTCATTCTGGCAGGCGGGCGGCTCGGTGCAGTGGTTGGCGCATTGGTACGCGATGTTGGTGATTGCGCGGTCGCGGTGGGTCATCTCTCCTATGCGCCGTCCCACCAAGTGCCCCTGCAGAGGGTCCACCGAACGAAGCGTCGGCATGCCCGTAGTGGAGAAGGCGAACTTAGCGTAGTGCATGATAGAGCGGAAGTCGTACTTGACGCCGAGCGTTTCGGCGTTCTCCTTAATCCTGAAGTTGGCCTCTTTGCCCTGCTTGATGTTGTCCCACAAAACCTCGACGTACTGGTCACGGTCGGGTCGCGACTGTTCGTGGAAGAAGCCGAGCGCATGGCTGATCTCGTGCGCCACCGTCACCAGTGCGGCGCAGCCTTTGCCGATCGAGACGGACTGACCGCTGAGTTTGTTTTGCATCTGGCCGAGGAACGAGTAGCAGCCACTGCCGTTGATGAAACGCAGATGTGGCGCCCCGGCGAACTCGACAGGCTCCTCCCGGAACGTCACGCAGGTGACGTCCTCTATGTGACTGATGCCGGCCTCGATGTTGGTGCGCCGCTGCTCCACCTCCGGCGTCACCACGAACGGCACCGCCTCGCCCAGCGGCCACCGCTTGGCCATGAGCGCCCGCCGGTCAACGCCCTCCGGAAGCACGATGTCCGACTCGATCAGGGTCAGGCCGTCGTCGGTCAGCGTCGGGTTGAGCTCCTCGGGGTACGCCCCGTCACCCCCGGCACCCAGGCCAACGTCGTCGGCGTCCAGGTGGCGTCCGGCGGCCGACGCCGCCAGCAGCAGGAGCAGATGAGCCGCGGCCATGTTCGGCAGTGATGCGGTGCTCGCCACGGGCAGACCACAGTCCCGGATGGCACGCCACGGGCAGACCACAGTCCCGGATGGCACGCCACGGGCAGACCACAGTCCCGGATGGCACGCCACGGGCAGACCACAGTCTGATTCGGTGGGCTGGCTGTGGCTGGCTTATAAATCAGCGCGTGACCACATGTGCGTGGTGAGGCTCAGGTGTGCGTGCAGCGAGAAGCGCAAAAGGCGAGGTCGCACCTGCTGCGTGACCCTGGTCGGGAGCCTTCGGATCTGGCTACACATGCAAGAACAGCTGAAAGAGCATTCGCGAAGCGGTCCAAATCGGCAAGGAATCAACGGAGAGTAGTGTGCCCATCCCAGTATGAGGCAGCAGTGCGTGCAGGCAGTGGCAGCGGGTGGGGCACACTCATTGCACGGTGGCACTGGCGGAGAAGTTGCGGCTTTGCATACCTCCAAACATCAGTTCAAGCTCTATAGGTTAATTTGCATTTTAGCGTTCTGCCTTCAGTGGTGAAATAACGGCTGCCAAAACCGACTTGAGCCCAACCCGCCACGGGTAGGTGGACCAGAGGCCAGGCGCTCTAATGAACTGAGCCATTGGTACGGACTAAGTGATACAAGGCCAGTTACACTATTTAATCTTCAGGAAGCGGTTTAGCACATCCACCTTCGCACCATTCTCGCACCTTACAACAAAATGAAATTGTCCGTCTTATTGCAAACCAGGTGTATCATTTCCTTTTCAGTTGAGGGGAGAGACTTTGTCCCCCAACTTTGGCATAGGCTTGAGAAGAAGCTGAGCAAGATCTGTAGAGTAACTCGTTTGTTGGAATCTCTTGAGGGTAGGCGTTGTTGTTTTTCAGTGTTGGCCTCCCCCCCCCCAACTGAACAGGGATATAGTCTTCCAGAACTATGCCGTTGTTGCAGGTACAACATCTTGCATTATGCCAACCTGTGAAGGAATTCAACAACAGTCTAACAGTCTGAATTATGTCTTTCCAGTTAAATGCAAGACAAAAGGATTGGTGATAATTTCCACATAGCTTCCAAACTCCGGGTTGCAACACTACCTAGCCCACAAATTGAGAAGACTCGTTTTCAGTCCACAAAGTCATTGGCAAATGAAGCATATTTATTGAAAATCAAAGCTAATTCTGACACCAGCTCTGACAAGGACGGTAACTGAAAATCACCTGGTCATGCAGTGCGATCCAAACTGTCAGATATGTTAGGCTAAATGCTATGTTAGGCTAAATGCATTTGGTCTTTACACAGCACTCACCTTTACTCAGAAATTGAAAACACCAGAACAGTGCTAGAATTCTGTTTCTAATTTTCAGCATCTGTATCACACATGCATCTAACAAGCCCAAACATAGTGCTGCCAAAAAAGAGAGACACAACACCCAGGGGCAAAACCAGCGACTCCTTTTAATAGAGCATTGGCTAACAAATCTGGCCCAACCACTCAAGATAAATAAAAATGCAGATGTGCATTCATTGACACATTTACCTCATGTAATCCTCATACAATTTTGGTATATACAAACCACCAAGGACGCTGTCGTTTCAACGTTAAACAGCCCTGTTGGAAGGTCGCTCTCGACGTGAGATAAAGCTTTGAAGGTGTTTCAAAGGGGGAGCAGCATGACTGTGCACGAGCAATTTCAACCACTTCTGATCATCAGCCAGAGTCTGATCAACCTCTCCTGCTGCGTTCATCGATTCTAGTTATGCTACAAATACGACAGAGAAATCAATGATAAGTCTATGAACCTTCTAGTGCATATCAACGCATGGTTTTATCCATGTACTCAAGCAATGACGTCAGTTACGCGCTAGAACTGAACTAATATCAAGTTCTTCTTGTGGTGGTATTCATTCTCATGTTGTCTTAAGCAGAAATTATAAATGCTCTTGAGAGGTGAGGAAATGAGAAGGGTTTGACCGCTCCCGATAAAAATGGCCATATGGCAGCGAGGTCGTTCAGCCCGGTACCGTTAAGCTACCATATATAATATGGTAGCTTGGCACAGATTCGTCAATATTCAACAAGGCGCGTGTGCCTCAGTATTATTTTTAAAATTGCACATTTCATAGACCAAGATTGCAGGCTTCCCACATCATTTTTTGGCCATTATGTACACATTTGTATTAAGTGGACTCAAACAAGAAAAGTACTGCAAAAGCACCGGCCGTGGACGTTAAGATTGTGTCACCATCGAAGCGGCGTGCTGCAACAGTCATGACATGCAATATATTTAAGATTCAATGGATGCGAGAATTATTAACAAACAATCATGCAGATTTCGGGTTATCAACCTGCTGCGCAAATTCTATATGATCAGTCAGATTTGAGCGCAGTCATAGAAATCAGGGAAAAATCACATGAATCTAGCATGGAAACCTAGTACATGTGGTCAGAATAATTCAGCTATTTTATTTGTTCTTTTCCACGTTCAAATTCCTGACAAATGTCGTTTGGTGAAATATTTGAAGTTTTGTCACTTGTTCACTTTAAGCGCATTTAGGTGCGCAATTATGGAGCGACAGACGAATCATAGCGCGGTCGCGTTTAAGTAGATCACGTCACAGCACAGCGTAATAATGCCGAACTAGAACGCTTACGGTGTCCCTGAAACGGCGCGGCCGTGGCGATACCGGCGGCAGGACGTCTGTCAATCTAGCAGCAGATTGATATCCAATTGCCAGTTGGATATTGCGGGGCGTCTCGATTTCCTCCAAATTTGGTGTGCAGGGCTTCTCAACACGCTGATTCCGAAAATCACTGTCTCTGAGGTGGAATTTTGCGTAATTTTCGAGTTACACGCTGCGTAACATCCCAATGTGATATTGCGGGGTGTCTCGATTGCCTCCAGATTTGGTGTGCAGGGCCTTCTCAACACGCTGATTCCGAAAATCACTGCCGTTGGTGTGGAATTTTGCGTAATTTTCGAGTTATACGCTGCGTAGCATCCGAATGTGATATTGCGGGACGTCTCGATTACCTCCAAATTTGGTGTGCCGGCCCGGTGTAGCCGAAAGTCAACGTGGCCGTCGCCGGGGGACAGGCGCACGAACTTCCAGTGGTGCCGTGCCTCGCCGCTCAGGAAAAACGGCTCCCACAAGCCGCCCCGCGATGCCGTTCCGCAGGGTGGCACCGGCTTGACGGCCGCTAGAAATATGTGACACTTGTGCATAGGCGCACCCAAAATTTCACCGGCGGGACACAACTCCAACGCTTTCACTGAAAACCGCGGTACGGCCCTCGCCGTTTCTAGCGTACCTAGAACTGCTGAAATGGATGCTGCACATTGTTGGTCTTCTCTTTTGCGGACTTACATGCAGTTTTCAACTTTCAGCATACTGTTACGTACGCACGAATACATGGCCTTAAATTTGGTAAGGGGATGGGTAGGATGAGGTGCATATACCTACATGGGGGCCACTACTTAGCCTAATATTTGTCTCGGAGTAAGGTCATAGAGAATTTGAGTTTGCATAGTTACGAACAATCCTCCGTTGGCTCCCAAATCGAATCGACTAGGCTGCTCTGTTCACCTCTTCTCAGTTAACAGCATCCTGTTTGCGGTTTGTCGTCTTTTTTGCACATCGATGTATATTTGCTTCCGCAGTACCTGTGCCTTCAGGCCGTGCCATCGTGCTGGTAGCTCTGGAACTTGTGCTTTTTATTTGCGTCTTTGGCTGCCCCAGCAAGAACGCTCTGACCAGTGTCCCTGGCTGCCCCAGAAGGTTCTGTCTGATCCATCCCCATGGCCGTGGGCATGTGTAAGCGTACGTAGTGTCGCTGCTGGAGCTAAAATCGGACACTCTGTGGCCGGCGTTCGGCATCAGCTAGGTGTCCGTGCTGCTAACGCCGGTGCCATTCCAGGCGCGTCACGGCGCCACACTGGCCGCCACCTGCCACAGCCAGCCAGCCAAAATGAAGTCCAACGGCGTGGTCATGGTGCTTCTCGCAGAGGTTGTCTTCAGGGCGGCGCCCGAGACTGGTGAGCTCGCCGAGGGATGCGGACCGGCATGGGATCACGGAAGGATTGGATCGGACGGTGCTCGCTCAGAGTATGTCGCGATGGTGGGTCTCACTTGTGGATGTGGTTCAGCCAGCGTTCCAAAATGCATTCAGCGGGCTGTGCGGGATTTAGATATACATTAATGCTACCAGAATCCTGGCTATCCGGCGACGGCCCCGCACGCAATCGGTTTGCGCCAATCCGTTGCCCTTTGACCCGACCCAGACACCTGACCTACTTAGTGCATTTGTCAAGCCTGAGGTGCATAGATACTGGTTTCACAGCCGCGCAGTCCGATGCTGATTGGCTGATTTTGAACAAGGGGATGGGCAGTCGGCAACGAGCCACAAGCCGGGTTGTAATAACATGAAACATATCCACATACGTGCCACCCAAGTGACCGAATATTAGAACACTGGGTTGAGCCGTCGATTCGTGCGACTTTGACGGTCAAGCGGCCTTCAGAACGCGGTGCATAGCCACTGTGAACGCTTTCACTATTTTGCCGTGCTGCCGCTGAGAACAGGCTGTAAAGTATCTGTGGTGATAATTTGAACCATCCCAAACACGCTGTGGCTGCTATCAACTGGCTGCCGAATATTTAAAATGATTCTATCTGGTTAAGATATTGCTCACGAGTGACATATCAGTGGTTGTGTTACTTGCTGAATTTATTCGGGATCTTTCTCTACGCTGTTGTATGTGGTAGTCATGCTGCAGAATTCTGCTAAACCTTGGTCTCAATTTAGATGCGTTCAACGCGATGTGCGTACCACTCGGTGATGTTTGCGCAATGACATCTTCATCTCATGTTATGGCGTAATGCAAATGGCATAAAGTGATAATATTTCATGTTTTGGTGGCCTGGCTTGCTGATAAGTTATGTATTGTAGCAGACGATGTTTTGTAAGACTCGATGTCGTTGAAGCCTGTCTCGTCGCGACGCCTGCGCCGATCGCCGGTCTGACGGGGCATTGTCGTGTTCACAGCTGTCAGCCTGATTCCGGGCTTGCCATCGGCCGTGTCTGGGGAGCAGGCGTCTGGCAAGCCGTTCCCCGTGGTGATGCTGGTTC